GAGAGAGAGAGAGAGAGAGAGATTATTAGATTATATTTGATATTTGATTATATTTGAGATTGACTTCTATTTACAAGTTTTCTTTACATAAGTATATATTTATGTAGTTCAGAGCTTAAGATAACACAAAACAAGATAAACTGAAAGTTTCCATATTACCTCTGTTCTCCAGCCACTTGGTTTCTGTACTCAGAATCAACCATTATTTGTACATGTGTCTGAGACCAACTTTTAAACTGAGTCTTAATTTAAAGGGCCATTTACATTATTAGGTCACTGATAAAAGGGAGCTAAGAGAATAAGCAGGTTGTGTAATGAAATGGAAAAATGAGACTCTGTCATCCTTGGAAAATGATTTGATTAGCTTGACAAGAAGCAGAGTGAAGAGCTTAAATACCATAGTAATTTTAGATTCTTAAAACTTTATGGTTGCAGCTGGGCGTGGTGGCACACGCCTTTAATCCCAGCACTGGAAAGGCAGAGACAGGCGGATTTCTGTGGGTTCCAGGCCAGGGAAACCCTGTCTCAAAAAAACCAAAAAAAAAAAAAACCTTTATGGTTGTTGTTTAAAAGTATTTCTTGATGCCTTTCTGTTAAAGTACAGTTTGTCTGATAGCCACTTCAAGACTCCTTTTAGTGAGTATTATATTTTAAGTCAAAATATTGTGGTAAAGTTGTGTTTAGATAGTATATGGGGGGAGTACTAAGGTTCAAGATAGAATTCTGAAAGCCAGGAGTGGTGGTGCATGCCTTTATTCCCAGCACTAGGGAGACAGAGGCAGCTGGAGCTCCATTAGATCTAGGCCAGCCTGGCTACATAGCCAGTTCCAGGACAGCTGGGGCTACAGAGAGACCCTGTCTCAAGAAAAAAAAAAAAAAAAGTCAGCATTCTTATTTGTGAATCTACACTAAATAGTTTGGTGCTATTAGATGTCTTAAACAACAAATAGGCTGGTATCATTGGTGGTGATAAGATTTTATACAGGTCAAGATTTTCTATCAAAAGTTGGCTTTTTATACAATATAAAGTTAAGTTTAATTATGTCTGACCCTGCGTATATATAACCCCATTTGATCTTTTCAACGATTTGTAATGGAGTCGGTTTTTTTTTGTTGTTTTGTTTTGTTTTTTGACTAAGGAAACAAGTAACAAGTCATAAATACTCAGATCTTCCACTCTAAAATCAGTACTCCTTGTATGTTGTCAGGGCTAGAAGTTGTGCTTTATGACGTAGAAAACAGTGAGTGACATAAGATTGGAAATACCCCTTGTTTTTTGTTTTGTTTGCCTGGATGCTATTTAAATATTGGAATTTGAGTTTTGACATAAGAGGTTTTTGCTGAGTTCAGAGCTCATATACCTTTCTCTTTAAACTTCACCAACTTTTATAGCTTAATTTTGAGGTGTAGGATATGTGTGTACACATGTGTACGTGTGTGTATGAATGTGCCTGTTACTAGTTACCGTACCGAGTACCTTGCTAAAGCAAGTTAGTATATTATATGCATTTTGTCACTGCTGATAGACTACTTTCATGTACTTGAAAACTAACATGGCAGACTATATGGTATATAAAGTCAGGGGAGAGGGGCTGGAGAGATGAATCGGTAGTTAAGAGCATGGTCTGCTCTTGCAGAGGACCTAGGTTTGATTCCAGCACCCATATAGCAGCTAACAACAGTCCATAACTTCAGTTCTAGGGGATCGGATGCCCTCTTCTAACCTCTACAAGCATTGTACAACACCGGTGCACTTATATTCATGCAGGCAGTGCATTCATACACATAAAAAATAATAAGATATTTAAAAAAAATAAAGTCGGGAGAAAGAATACATTTTATTTAGTGATATTGAAAATATGTCTATAGCCAGAAAAACAGCATTTTCATTTAGATGACTGAAATACATTCAGTATAAATAAACTGCATGTTAAATTTTTCTAAGAATTGCTTCACTGACTATTTAGAGTGGTAGCTTATATTGACATCAAATAAGTTGTTAGAAAACAGTTTTAAATTTAATTTCTTGGGCAGAAGAGAATTTGGCCAAAAGTGCATACAAAGTTTAATATTATGTCAGTTACCTCTTTATGCTATCAAGTTTCATATATTGGAACATTGAAATGATCTTAACAGTTTTCCTTGGTCTGTTAATCCCCTCACTTTTTATCCCATTCCAAATGACTTTTTGATGATTATGCCCATTAGTATTTACAAATAGCTCTTTCTCTATTCCTTTTGAAGTTCTTGATTAGTTTTGTAGACTTGACTCCTTTCGTCTATACCTACTAACCCAGTATTTTTAGACCAACTATTGAAGCTGTTTACCGCCCCCCCCCAAAAAAATCCAAATACATCACTTCATCAGTAACCTTCCAGCTGAAATAGTCTAGAAACAAAAATCTTTTTTGACATCCCTTTGTGATGCTAGGTGTCCCAGGGGCCTGGTACATGGTAGGCAAGTGCTATACCAAAGATCTATATCCCTGGCCTTTTCATCCCTAGAATCTAGACTATTTAATTTTTTCTGTAGTACATAGATTGTATAGCTTCAAGTGGTTTATTTTTGCATATATATGTAATAACCTGATTTGATTGTCAGCTTTTACAACCTCTACTTTAGGGACCCTTATAGTACTTTATTTCACAGAACGTTTTCACACCTTTAGGCTTACTATTCCTAAAACTACTTTCTCTTTTCACTTTGTATTTGATTTATAAGAAACATTGTATCATTATATTGAAAAAATAATGGAATTTTATAATGCAAGCCATGTGACTTTATTTGAAGCCAATTTGTTTAGCAGGTGAATTTGTTTCAGATTAAATATTTGTATTTCCAAAGTTAGGGGATCTGAAGTTCTTTTTAAAAAATGTCATCCCTCTGAATATATTTAATTTAAAATAAATGATTGCTCTTTAATGAATTTTTAATCCCAAGCTTGGAGAATAACTTCAAGTTTATTCTTTGTTATTCTCCTCTATTTACCGCCTTCTTCTTTGAAGTTGAAGTCTTCCATTTAAAGCTGAAGCCTCTAAACAGACTGTAAGGAGTAGCAAACCAGTTCCCATATGGTCCTGGGCAGACCTGATTGAGGGGGGTGGGGGAGAACCAAATTGAGTTTTCAGCTGGTTCATTTGGTTCTTATTTGACTTGTCAGACTTAATTTCTAAGTACTATGGGAAAAAATAGCCTAACAAATGCATAACAAGAGTATGTAAAAGTATGATGCTAGTGAGATGTTCCAGTGGTTAAGAGCACTTACTGTTGCTCTTCTAGGGGTCCTAGGATTGGTTCCCAGTACCCACATCAGGGGACTCACACCTGCCTGTATCTCCAGCTCCAGGGGATCCAGTGTCCTCAGCTTACACTGGCACACACAGACATATATGTAAATAAAAACCAATCTTTTTTTTTTTTTTTTTTAAATATTAGAAGCCTTGTGGGGCTGGAGAGATGGCTCAGAGCGCTGGCCACTCTTGCAGAGGATCTGGGTTTGGCTCCCAGCACCCACGTGGCTGCTCACAACTTCCGTAACTCCAGTTCCAGGGGATCTAACACCCTCTTATGGCCTCCGTGGGAATTGCAGATTTAAACACTCATTAAATAAAAATAAACCTAAAAAAAGGTTAATATTAGAAGCCTTTAAACTTTGCTGTTCATAGAGCTGTGCTTTTCATGCCTTAGACCTAGTTAAGAGAAAATGTTAAAATAGAAACAGAAAGGAAATGAAAAAAGGAATGTGGTAAGAAAGACACGTTGTTGAAGGGTCGTCAAGCAGCTACATTGGTGATTGTCTGATATCCAGCATCAGTGTGCTGTAATGTAACTAAGAGGTACCTACTGGTTAAAATTTAAAATACTCTAAAAATAACAGTATAGAACACAACTTGGCTCAATTTGGGTTTTGAAGTCATAATTCTGTTGTTCTTAGTTCTTTGATCATTGATATTTGATTGCTGTTACAGTCAGCCTTGGAAATAGTTTTTTTTAATTAAGATTTAATTTTTTTTAATTTATCTGTATATGCATGTGTTTGTGTGAATGTACGCCACATGTGTGCCAGGTGCCTGAGGAGGCCAAAAAAGGGTACTGGATCCCCTGAAGCTTGAGTTACAGGCAGTTGTGAGCCGCCAATACATAGTATGTTCCTAGCTGATGTTCTTATTATACCATAGTGGCTCAAGGATTTTTAAAGTGCTTTGACAAGTATTTGTTAGCGCCCCCAAAAGTATGGGTTGATAGTAAAGAAGAAAGAAAACTGTTAGGAAGTAGGTTTGTCAAAAAGCTTAGCTCCTTAAGAAACTACTTATGACATAGAAGGTGACTTACACATACTGGAGTTTGTCCACATGAGCCCCTCAATTATAATTCTGTGGTGTTAGCCCAAAAAGAATGTGTGCATAGGGATGGTAGAAATAAGTGATAATTATGACTGGTAGGCTTTTACCTTTTAAAGGGGCATTATGCTATAAAGTTGTATTGCCCTTTTTTTTGTACTACTCAATAGAAGCTACACATAAACTTAAGGTGGAAATGTGTCATGTCCAACCCAGGAAGGACTTTTCAGTACTCATCATTAACCCTTCTCACTTTTAGCAAATGCTAGAAAGTTACAACTTAATGTTCTATTTGGATAGTCTACCAGAGAACAGCTTAACCTGCTAAAACTATAGGTGATTATAAAAGCATCTGATAAAGTTGGTATTGATAGGCTATTGAAGTAGCCACATTCATACACATACAGTTGAATGCTAGTATTTAATTTTGTCTGTTATTTACTTTCTTTTAGAACTTTGATCCTGAATTATTGTGGGTTCTGGATTTTGTGTGGTTTTTAATTTCTTTCAAAGTATTATTGCATGCATCCTCACATTTTCTTTATCCTCTTTAAAATTAAAGCAGTTACACTGTAAAAATCTTCCATTTTTTTTTAAAAAAGTACTGATTATACTGTACATTCTCAACTTCATTTCCATTTGATTCTTGGATCTCACAGGAATCCTTCAACTGCTTTCTACCAAGCGTTCCATTTGAACACGTTTCAGGAATCAAAGAGCCTCTGGGATAGGTATGAATACTTGATATGGAATGCATACATGCAAAAATGTATGCATGAATTGCTTTGCATAAAATGATCCTTGTTATTTTAAGGGGAAAAAATGTACATGATATCTAGCACGGGACAAAGCAGCAAAATAAACCAAAAAGACGATTTTACATAGAATATAAACATGCTTTTTCCACTGCATTTTGTGCATGTTAATATATTTTTGGAGGATTTATATATTCTGTTGCCTTGAAATAGCTACTTACCTGGTGTGTCTTAATGTAAATTTATTTTCTATTAAATTCTAGTTGTTTTAAATTTTGTATGATTTCATAACACAAAGTAAAATGCAATTTCAAATTTAAAAATTAGAGAGCCAAGACCTGGGTAACAGTAGTCATTAATTTTTTATAAGAAATTTTAACACCAAGTTTGCTTGCTATAATTCAGTGGATTTATACTATGATTTATAAACCCCTGAAAATAGGTTGTTTTTTCACAGAAATACTGTTTTGCTCTTATTTTTCACTTTAAAAAATGCAGGCTGAAAGTTCTGGATTTTACTTTTGGCAAAAGATTCTTTGGTTTATCTTTCTGCTTAACACACTTTTTAAAAAATAATATATGCTCTTTTCACTTACTTGTCTGAATATTTATTAGCACTCCATCAGTCTATGTTTAATTAATAGGAGTTGAGCACAAACAATGTTTTTAAAATTCACACAAAGCTTGTTGGATTCTTTTAACTCTGCCTGGCAACGCATTTGTGTCTTCTGGCATATTTCTGGCATAATACTCATGAGCTCAACTCTATCTCTTTCATTAGAAAAGAGTGTTGCTAAGTGCATGTACATGTCATATTAAGACATGGTCTGCATTGCCTAGAAATAGTGAAATTTAGTTTTTAGGCTTTGTTTGTGTGTATAACTCTAAAGAATATTTTCTAAACAAAGTATCTTTCAGATACTGTGTTCCTTAATAAAAAAAATGTTTTAAAGTCACTTTCGAATAGGAAGTTTTAAATTTTGTAGCATCATGTTTATAAAATCAGGTTTTAATTTTGCTCTAGCAGTGTAAAGCTGTGTAAATTAATAGCATAAGTGTAAATTACAGTATAACACAAGCTTGAAGTTTTAGCCCCTCAAATACTTTGCATTCCAAATGTAAGCTATGAGTACATGAGGTGTACCTTAGACTTTCTGAATAAAAAGGAAATACAGTAGTACTCTATTAGAATATTTTTTTTAAAAAAAACAGTTTGAGTGTAGTTTAATTGTACTTCTAATATCTTGTAAACAGCCATATCTGTATAAACAATCTGTATTTTCAGCAACACAGTGTAGAAAGGTTTGATCTTCATTTTCTATAATTTGGATCTAAAGTTAAAAGGGTCCTTTAGGGCTAGGGAGACGGCTCAGCAGTTAAGAACACTGACTGTTCTTGCAGAAGACCGGGTTCGAATCCTAGCACCCACATGGCAGCTAACAACTGTCCATAACTCCAGTTCCAGGGAATCCCAACAGCCTCTTTTGTCATCCGCAGGCATTATATGACATGGGTGCACTTACCTACATGCATATTAAATATTAAAAGGGTCCTTTAGTTTCATTATGAGACAACTAGAGCAGTTGCTTCCTTGCAATTTGTTGTTACAGCTAAATACTCTATTTTTTTTAGATACCAGATACTTTTAAGGTATCAGAAATGAGACAAGTTGCTGTTATCTGTATAGTTTCTCATGGGTTAAAAAATAGTTTCTGTAGGCTGAGAAAATGTCTCAGTAATATTAAAAGGGTCCTTTAGTTTCATTATGAGACAACTAGAGCAGTTGCTTCCTTGCAATTTGTTGTTACAGCTAAATACTCTATTTTTTTTAGATACCAGATACTTTTAAGGTATCAGAAATGAGACAAGTTGCTGTTATCTGTATAGTTTCTCATGGGTTAAAAAATAGTTTCTGTAGGCTGAGAAAATGTCTCAGTAGATAAAGTGCTTAGTATGCAAGCATGAGGACCTGAGTTCAGATCTCTAGCACCACTGGAAAAAAAACAGGTGTGGCAGCACAAGCAGTAGGAGGTAGAGACAGGAGGATCCTGGGTCTCTCTGGCCAGCTAGTCTAGCTAGTCAGGAAGCCCCAGATTCAATGAGAGATCTGTCTCAAAAAGTAAGATGGAGAATGATAGAGGAAGACACCTGATGTTGACCTTGTGTCTACACACACAGCATTTACACACATACACAAATAGAAATAGTCTCTCTTCTTTGATCCTGTTATCCAGAGCCAAAGAAGTTAATGGGTACTTGTATAGTGCATTCATACCAATGTAATCACCTTAATACTGTCTAGATAGCTATTTTTCACTCTAAGCTGGCCTTGTTGGTACCATAGTAACAAATCCAACCCAGTGGAAGCTGATGAATGGCTTCCTTTTAACTTCTCATCTATGATACTAAACTTTAGATTAAGAAAAATAAAAGTGAGGGGCTGGAGAGATGACTCAGTGGTTATGAGCACTGGCTGCTCTTGCAGAGGACCTGGGTTTGATTCCCATCACTGACATGGTGACTAACAACCATCCATAATTCCTGTGCCAGGGGAATCCACCACGCTCTTCTGACTTCCATGAGCATTGCACGACACAGGGTGCACCTACCTACATGCAGGAAATACATTCATACATACAAAATAAAAATAATAAATAAAATAACTTTTTAAAAAAAGAAAAGCAAAAGTGGGCTGGGGACATGTTTCAGTGGTAGATCCACTTACCTGGCTTGCCTGTCATGTGTACAAGGTCCTGGGCTCTACCCCTCATCCCCCTCACCCCCACATAACACACAAGACAAAGTGAGAAGTGACTAGCTTTTACTGCTTAAAGCAGTCTACAACTTTCGGCAAATACAGACTTGCTGATGGAGTGGGTGTCAGCTGAAAAAGCATTGTGGTGCTGTTTATTCATCGCAGATAGGTTAAAGATTGTGTATGCTAAGCTTGGAAAAATGTTAAATAGACCTTTGGATTGCCCCAAATTACCTTGTTTTTTTGTATGGTTGGTTTGTGTGTGTGTATGTGTGTGGTTTTTTTTTTTTTTTTTTTTTTGCCAATTGTAAATTTAGGATTTTTTTTTCTTTACAATTAATTTGCTAGATAAGTATTTTGCAGTGATAATTCTTTTTTAAATAAAATCATTCAGGAATTTAAGAGGCCATAGTTCTTTCTATTGCCGGTCTATATCTCCTTATTTTGAAGCATAAATTTGCCTGCCGATATTACCAGATAACATATTTCAGGCTCCTATTTACGAAATATTTTAATGATTTTTAGCAAGAGTAACTTTTTAAAAAGATTTCATTTTATGTGTGGGGGAGGGGGCAGTGCCTGTAAAAGCCAGAAAGAGAGTGTTGGATCCTTTGGATCTGGAGTTACAGGTGATTATGAACCGCCTGATGACCTGGGTGCTAGAGGCCTCTGGAAGAGCAATAAGAACCCTTAACCACTGAACCATCTCTCCAGCCCTGCGATTAACTTTCAAACAGCTTCCATTAAGCATGCCTAGATGTCTAAAGATCCATGACTGTGCCTAACTTGAAAGACTTGAACTTTTTTCTCCTGCTAGGGTTCTTTCAATTTATTGAGTGGTCTTTACAATTGAATATGAATAACTAGTATGCCTTTCCAGCATTGACTTACCAGCTCTGTAATGGCTCCTTTGTTTCTTCTTGTATTTAAATTAAAATTAATAATTTAGAGGCTTTGCAGTTGCCAGATTGCCTCTGCCTATATTCACATCTTCTCTCCCGAGATAACCAATGTTTTCCTCACTTTTTGTAAAATTAGAGGTGCTCTAAAGCCTTCCTTTTCATCTTCCTGTAAATGTCATCATAGTTTCTATGTTCCCTATTTGTCGGTTACAGAGATGTCAGGAAAACCATCTCCAAATATAAAGAGAATAGATACTGATAGCTTTAATAATCCTCCCCTTTCTTAGGAAACGCTGTTCATTAAAATCAATAATATTCTTACATAACTAGCTTTCTAGGAGATTATCTTCTTGTGAAGTCATTTTTGTGATATCCACTCATAGTACTTTAGTGTCTTTAATTTTTGATTTCCTGTTGGTTTTTTTTATTAATATTACTTCATTCTTGGTTTTGTTAAATCTGCAGAATTATTTTAGAAATCTATCTTCATAATCACTGGGAATCAGGGATCATTAGGAGTTTTTGTCTGTGAGAGCTTAGGGTAAGAATTACAACAAGCAATTTATCTTCTCTTAAATCTCATGTCAGTAAAGTAAAGAAGTACTAGAGAGAAAAGCTTTTAGACTAAAGGAGGAAATCAGAGAACTTGTGAAAATTCAGCCTCACGGATAAGTACTTGGAGTGTCTATCTTCATGAAGAAATTGGATAAATGTAGTCAATAAGTGAGTAGCAGTTGCTAAGTATGCATATCTCCTTGAGTCAGCTTGTCCTTCATGGTGGCATCAGTGCTTTAAGAGAAATTTAATAAAGGAGGTGGTATATGTCAGTGCTCTTAACTGCTGGGCCATCTCTCCAGCCCTTCAAAGCTCATTCTTAGAGCAACTGCTAATCTGTACCCCCAGCTCGAAGCTGATTCTTGGATCCCAGGTTTAAATGAAAACCTAAGGACATATTGAGGTTACACTAAAGCAAGTGATATATACATTTAAGTCTAAAATTGTACAGAAGTTGAGAATTTGAAATAATTTATGTGGGAAGCTACTAGGTTGAGTTAGAACAGTAAAAAATAGCTAGATGTACTAGTTGACTACGTCTTAAACTCATTATTAGCAAGTGATAAGCCAAAAGAAAATGTAATTTTGTGCAGTGTTGATAGAGCCTAGAGTAAACGGAACAAGATGGTGACTGATAACTGACCTATGTTGTATGACATTTTGCAGCCTTATCAGTAAACCTTAAAGAGTTGTATATTTTATTAAGAATGAAAGTTACAGCATTCTGTCCTGTCACGAAAGAATCCCATCCTGAAGTCACTCAG